ATTAAAGAAAATAACATCCGGTCTGAGAGGGTGTAATATCGGCTACTTAACACCAGTTTGCAGTTTTGATAAGTAGGAATTTGACGCACGAAGGCCGTAGGGCCTGAGTGGTTAATTTTTCGCAATCAAAAAATGAAAAACCAGCATTAAATAGCCGATATACACCTCTCTAAGGCCGATGTTATTTCGATTCTATCACGATGAAATAAGGAAGATCACTAATGTTATTTTTAAGCGGAAATAACTTCCGGTGCCGATTTTTGTTATAAACGCTGTTTGATTTTCACACGGTGACCCTACTGTTGCAAAGATATAGAAATTTTAAAAACAAAATAATTAAATAAGAAAAAACATTATTTTATCAAGTTTTTTCAACAATAAAAATTATGTTTGTATTGTGTTAATTACATAAGTGCCCCATTATCATTCTTGTATGTATGAAAATTAATGTCAGCTTGTTTGAAATGAGGTGTTTACTTAGGATGACTTCATTACACTGTTATACGGATTGGCGCCGTTTTGTCAAAATATTTATTAACTGATATGGATCTATATGTGGCGTTAGTGTATGTGAGATATTATTTTCGGTATTGTATGAAAAGAAACATTTATAAGAACTGAAAATATAAATAAAAAATGCTTTTATTGTTGGGCTTTAAAAGGCTTTTTAAACTATATAATCAAGGGAGGAAACATAACAGCCACATAAACAAGTAGTCCCTAACCAGTGTTTATTGGCAGTTTAACTCCTGGTTTATTTCTTCTTTGTCTATATTGTGACAAATCACATGGAGTGATGGAATATATATTATGCATCTTTATTTATTAATATATTATGCATCTTGAAAAAATTTTTGTTTATAGAAAGATAAAAAAAAAATAATAGAAAACTTACCTTTCTGGGATGACCGGATATAGGTTTTTTACCATATATGTGGTGTAAAGCTTTGAATATGTCTGCATTGTTGGTGATGTCAGTTTTCATCTTTTCCAAGAATATGAATGCTTCTTTCAGTGTTTTCTCTGTGTATTTATTACTGTTTCTACACACAAAAAATCAATGTCCCTCTATTTTTATGCTTTGCTTAAAAATTTCATTTGTTTCTATCTTAAAGTCATTTTTTTTTGTTTGGTCATGTTTCATGTTGCACCAATAAAGTATAGGTAATATGGCGTCTTTCCAGCTTTACTGGTACAGGATGACCTCAAGTGCCCTTCCATGCATTATTTCAGGCTAGAATGGGCACCTGACTAGAACCATCATTCAATAGGCTAGCTGGATAGCTTCCTCAAAAGAAAGAATAAAAAATCACTTTTGGAATTCAAACCCACAGCAGTGAGGGGCAAGTGGTTTGAAGTCAACGCCGTTTACCACTTGGCCAATGACGCTTTTATTTTTTTAAATGAGATTGAAACAAATCTATTCAACATCATACACCCTAACTTTATTAAGTTGTCACAAACTACCTTGTACCTGGTGTATAACTAGTTTCAAAACAATATGAGATAGGAATTGTGAGGAATGGTTAATTATTATATTACTTTATAATATTCCAGGAAGTGGTAAAGTATAAATAAAAGTATTCTTACCTAAATAGAGAGTTGACCTTAGCGGCATAGCATATGACATTAAAGAAACAATCAGCTGGTAAACTCCTTAGGAACAGCTGCAGTGCTTTCTTGGCATTTCCCATCTTAGTTCTATCCATCTTTCCTAAAAATAGTAAATAACAAAGGGTCAGTATACATGATAAGTCACTGATGAATTAATTTTATCAATTTTTCTTTTGGTTGAGTTTTACATGGCACCAACACTGTAAAGGTTGTATTGCGACTTTCCAGCTGTAGTGGTGCAAGAAGACCTTAGGTGCTTCTCCTTGCATAATTTCAGGCACAACGGAGTTCCTGAGTTGAACCACAGTTCCACCAGGTACTGTATAAGTGGATATTTATGTGTCACAAAAATTTTGCGAATGTCAAAAAGTGGACTTATTTGCAAAGTATGATTTCTTGAATTTTATACTGTTTTTCTGATATCATTAATAAAGCAGGTTCATGTTAAGAATATGCTGTAATCTTTCTATTCAGGTGTTCAATACTTTATTTAGTTGCGTCCCTTGTTATGGCGGCAGGTCAAATTTTTACATGTGTAAACTTCTAGTAAAATTGGAAAATGGGAGTGGATATTAACATTTGGCGTATGAGAATAGGATGTTTTACAACTCGCTCTAAATCTGTGAAGCATTTTCAAGTGCTAGTTATCTCAAAGGGACTGAAATAGTCATTTTCTGGAATACTTTGTCTGTGCACGTGTGTAGCCATTGTGATTCTATTGAGTGGTGATGTGGAAAGAAACCCTGGACCACCTAAGCCTGATGTGATACGGGGAAAGGGACAACAAAGACATTCAGGGGTTGATGGTTCATGCAGTGGGCATGCTGATGTGCTTACCCCGGGTACCGGGAGTCTTGACAGTGTGGTGACTAGACAGCGGACCATATCCTCGTACACATTTTCACAGGTGGCATCCCCTAACAATAGACCGGTAAATGACACTAGAAATGCACGAAGTAAGTCTCATACTAGTACTAGTAATACAGACTCTGATATGTTTACTTTCCTTAGAAATATGAAAACTGACATTGATAGGCAATATGAACGCTTAGTTACTGAAGCCAGAGATATGAATTCAAAAATTGACTCATTATTCTCGACAATTAACAAGTTAAAGCAGGATAATGAAAGGCTAAAGCATGACAATGATTTGCTACCAGCAGAAATATCTCAAGTCAAAAATAAACTAGATGTCCTAGAAAACCAATCATGAAGGAACAATTTACACTTTAATGGAATTCTTGGAAATATAAATGAAGCATGGGCAAAATCTGAGGAGAAAGTTCGATCCTTTCTGAAAAAGACGTTAAATTTACATGAATTAGCCGACACAGTAGAAATCGATCGTGCGCATCGGATTAAATCAAACAACCCAACTTAGTGTACTATACTTGTACAATTCAATAAATACAAGGATTGTGAACAAATATTACAACGTTTAAATGATTTGCTTCAAGAAAATACATCTTATTCAGTTCAACGGGACTTTAGTGATAAGATCCGAATGCATAGAAAATATCTGAGTGAAAGGATGTTGACAGAAATGGTAACTATGCTGTAATTCGGTATGACAAACTGATAGTGAATGATTCTGTGTACAAATACGATGACACTACACAGTCTATTGTGTCAATTGGTGCTTGCCGGAGGATTACACGCCCACGTGTTTTACCACGTGGCCAGGCAAACGATGTTTTACATGTAATGCAGCAATTGGATGTACGAAACCATGTGAGTGCTGACGTAGATCCCGATCAACTGCGCTGTGTAAACCGACCAATAGGGAATGATACAGGTTTGACCGATGATGCTTCCGACTCATCTCATATAGAATAAGGATACGGTCAAGGCCAAATAAACAATGATTATTCATGTATAAACATTGTAAGTTGGAATATTGCGGGATTAAGTAAACATGTTGACAATGCTGAACTTATACATTTTTTCTCTTCTTTTGATATTATTCATTTGTGTGAATCATGGGGAAAAAGTGTTGGTGAATTTAGCTCCTTTTTAGAATCTTATATTTGTTATAAACATGTTAGAGCACAACGTTCTTATAGCATACGTAATAACGGTGGTATTGCTGTTTTTATAAAAAGCAGTTTATATAAACTGAATATTATTACACGTATTAAGAATACTTTTGAGGATTGTGTTGTATTATATTGTAATTTTTCAAAAGTTTTCAAGTGTAAAAATGTTATTATGTACTTTGTTTATGTATCACCTGAAGGGTCGTCTATTTACGATTCCAGAGAGGAAAGAAATGGCATTTCTTATTTACAATCAAATTTAGAAGAAATATCTTTAGAATTTCCTAATGATTTAATATTTCTTGCAGGTGATACGAAAGATTATTTAGACTTTATTCCACATGATAACTTAGATTTTGTTTTTGGGGAAGTTGAGTATGAAGGTAGTTATTTTGAACTGCTTCGAAATAGTAAAGACGTTCTACGTGGAAATAATTTTGGGAAATCACTAGTACAAATGTGCTGTGTTTTAGATGTACATTTCTTAAATGGAAGAATTAATGGGGATCTAGAGGGAAATTTTACGTGCGTTTCTAACAACGGAGCGTCCATTGTCGACTATATGATAGCCTCGTCAGAGTTGTTTGAAAATATATGTAACTTCAGTGTACTTGATCAAACTAAATCGGACCATTTTCCATTGTATTGTTGTTTAAAAAATTTTATGGTTTAAATGATAGTAATCGTAATACAAATGTTGTAAATAATACATTATCGGAACTAAAAATGTATAAATGGCGGGATCACCAATGATGGTGACCATTTTCCTGAGCAAAAAAATGCTCTACTTTTAGATAATGACCAACTAATAACAAGTCTTGTAACGAGCTATTGAAACTATTCAGTCTTTATATTATAATGCTGGACGTTATATGTTGGCTTCCAATTCATCAAACACGTTGCAACCACCTTGGTGGGATGAACGTTGTGAAATGCTTAAAAGACAGAAATACTCATTCTTAAGGCGGTTTTGAACATCAAACCTAAATGCATCTGATTTAAGAATTTATAAAGATAAAAATAATGAATTTAAGAATTATTGTTAGAATAATTTTTATCAGTACCAGTCTCAAAATCGGCAAAAGCTCATTAATAATAGAAACAATCCATGTTTTATGTGGAAACAACTTAAACAAGCAAAACAAAAGCAATTTATAGATTCAAGTATCGGAGCCGATGACTGGTATACATATTTTCATGGTTTATTGTTTGATAATGATATATTACCTTTAGATATAATAATGAAAATGATGACGTCATCATTGATAATACACATGATATATCAAACTTAAAGGGACCATTTATGTTAACGGAGGTTGAGTTAGCTATTCGGAAGTTAGCAAACAGAAAAAGCTGCGGCTTAGATGGAAAACCATCTGAATTTATAAGAATAGTTTAAACAGTATTGCACCTTATTTAGTATTAATTTTTAATCAAATATTTGAAACAGGTGAATTCCCTCAATCTTAAGGTCTTAGCATAATATGTCCTATACATAAAGCTGGATCAACCTGTGACCCGAGTTATTATTGAGGAATTTCTCTTATTAATACACTATATAAAATATTTTCAAGCATCGTTAATAAGCGTTTGTATGAATTTGCTGAAAATAACAATAAGTTTGACAAACCTCAGGCAGGTTTTCGGGCTGGGTATTCGGCAATTGATAATGTTTTCTGTCTTCAAGCTATGGTGCAAAAATATCTTTCCAAAAAAGGGGGTAGATTTTACTGCTTTTACTACAAATAATAATAATAATAAAGTATTAATGTGTAAGTACTACTCTTTTTTTTTTTTTTTGGTACTTTTTAATCTTTTTGGTGTTTGGTTTATATTGGGTAGAATGATGCACGGGGCACGTGATTTTCATGAGTTTTTTCGCGGTTTTAAATCATTTGAGGTTTACTACACAGTATACAAGGTTCACCAAATTTCTTTAATTTTATAAATTGTATATTCATGAGGAGACGGTTGATACCTGTTATATATATTAATAGAATGTTTTATAAATGAACATGACAAAGACTGGATTTTACAATGTGACTGATCAATAATTGTATTGGGAGAATTTGTCAAATTGATTTATTTTCTTAAGTTTTATCCAATTGTTAAGTAATTCTTTAATATAAAAAGAATATTCTAAAAGCAGGGTGCGGAGAGAGCCTGTTCGCTGGCCAGAGCTTTGGATTCTCCCTATCTCCCCCCTCTTAAACTATAAATTTAAAAAAAAAAATAATAATAATAAGAGTTGGGGTTGGGGCAGCCGGCTCGCAGCATATGATTAACCTGTGTTTCCGAATAATTATTTTTAAAATGGTTGTTTTTCGTTTTGAATAATTTTTTTTTCCGGCAGGATTAAAAAAAAAAATAATCCCATTTCATAGTATTGATCCATTGATTTCAAATTCATGAAGTATGTTTATAGTATAATTATAATCAACATTGTTGCTTTTACAGAAGTATTTATATATATAGAAATAATACATGTATGTACTAATTAAGGCGTTCCTTTGATATGACATTATATTGTGTGATGTATTGCTGTAAAAATGTTCATATATGAGCTTTAGTAAACCCCAATCTATAGAACCTTATCTGAGTTTTCTTATTTCTTGGTTTGGATTATATGGTTTAGGAAAGAAATAATTTATTTTAAGACAAACGAAGTGAGGGAGAAAATAAATAAAGATACATTTATTCTATCACTATTGATCATATAAGATCATACACAGAAATTTGCCCCCAAGAGGATAAAGTTTACAATACTATAGCTCTTATGCACTTATATTCTAATATGCTTACCAATACCTGTAAAAATATTCATATTCAATAATATTTATTCAAATCATAATGTCCCAGGCATCCGGAAATCAGGGGCCTATGCTGCAGACAACAAAGTCCTGAAGACCGGTGTCACAGTAAACCAGAAAGCAGTCTATATATTACAGCATGATTGTCTGCAGTATCAGAATTTTAAATATAAACATATATATATCTGATTTACCTGACATTTCAATGATAAACACATATTCTCCATTGGTTGCAATAGAAATCTTTCTTAAATCTGGCTGGAAACTCAACATACAAATATCTTTTTTGCACACTTCCTCTAAAAATAAATAATACAAATATTCTTTTCAGTATACGATGCTTTTTGCAACATAAGCAACATTAATCACATATCCATGCCGCATTTACAACTTATTAAAGAAGGTATTGCATAGCCATACATGTATAATGATGTGATGACATTTGCATTATACAAGCATAGTATAAAGACTTGAAAAATGTTAACATTACACTTTAAGCATGCCAATGAAAAATTGATACTTTTTAATGTAAACAATTCTTATTTTGGACATGTAATAAACATAATATCATATCTGTTTAGCTTCATTACAAAATTCTTTCAACTTGTTGAAGAAGAACTGTTATGCCCGCTAGAGGCTCACATAATATGATTTTATTCAACTTGTTCAATAATTTAATATTTACCTACCCTCATTCAATAGTCTCTATTTATGGAACAAATATAATGCAAAAAATTTTAATATGTTCATGAAAAATTGAAAATCTTTCACTTCTATGAGATATATAAACTATTTTTCAAATTTTATAAGCATTTAATTAGAACATGCAAGAAAAGTTACATGTAAAGCATACCAGATTTTGGGTTTTGATTTCCTAGGATGACCTGTGGAGAATATGGCTTCTCATACAACACACACAACTGTATATCTCTGTCAAACTTAAAGTCATCACCAATTAACACCTGTAAATAAATACATGTATACATATCGTTTTTAAGTGGCGGCATGGCCGAGTGGTTAACATGTCAGACTAGTAATCTAATGATCCCTAGCTGCGTGGGTTCAAACCCCGTCAGGGGCATGTGGTTGATTCTTTGAGCAAGAATCTTTACACTCTTACACAGTACTGGCTGCTTCAAGGAAGGGATTAAAAGTGTGTCTATAAGCTAATGGCTTCCTACACAATCATACTAAAATAAATAAATACTGTAGGAACAATATAAATACTGTAAATTAACAGTGTTTAGTTATCACTCCAAAGTTGTTATAGTAATTGATACATTGTGCAAGAAAACATATGAGCGGCGTCACGACAAAACCAACATAGTGCGTTTGCGACCAGCATAGATCCAGACCAGCCTGCGCATCCGCATAGTCTGATCAGGATCCATGCTGTTCGCTTACCAACTTACCAAGCATGGATCCTGATCACACTGCGTGGATGCCCAGACAGGTCTGGATCCATGCTGGTCGCAAACGCACTATGTTGGTTTTGTCGTGATGCGGCTCAATTTGTATAGATCTTTCTCCAGGCCTACTTTCATTTTCTGATTTGTTATTGAATTTCATATAATTGTACTGAGAAATGTGTAGAAAGAGCAAATTTTCATACATGTTGCATGATTAAAGGAAATAAATTTACACAAGCTAGAATTCTGCATATAGTAAATAAATTTCTAATATACATGTATTTGTACAAGTACTTATTCATTTTATACACAAGATTAATTATGAAGAAGTGTCAAATATAAATCACTACTTGAAAATCTACACTGAGAGGATGTTCTAACTAGACCTTTGGTTAATCAGCTATATTTTTTTAATGTATTGATCAATTTAGGTTATATTTCGGATATTTATTACTACACATAAGATGCATACTTCTGTAGAATTTTATTTAAATCACATTTCGATAAAATGTCAAACTTAACAGAAAAAAACAGTCTTATAAAAAGTCAAAGTCGCAAAATGGCGGCAAAATAACAATGTGAAAAGTCACTCAACAATATCACTTAACTGTCCTGGTAAAACTCTCTGGTTTAATATTTGGTGTGACCACCTCTAGCTCTCAGTAAGTGAGCACATCGTTGTCTCATCGACATAACATAGTTTGAAATAGTCTGCTGAGGAATGTTGGCCCATTCTTGGATCAGCATCTGCTCTAACTGAACAAAATTTGCGGGCGGATTCGGTCCGTTCCGAACACGGCAGCCAAGTTCATCCCACAAATGCTCAATGGGGTTCATGTCCGGGGATTTAGACGGCCATGGAAGAACTCTCACTTGTTGCTGTCGTAGAAGCCTCTCTGTGGTCGCAGCTGTGAGCGGGATCGCCCCATTCTGCATCAGAACCATACCTCGCCCACCGGCACGCAGGTGAGGAATGGCCTCCGGAATCAGAATCTCCTGTTGATATCTCAAAGCGTTGAGATTACCACGGATGACTACGAGGTTGGTCTTAGTATGAAAGGAAATCCCAGCCCAAACCATCACCGATCCCCCACCGTAGTGGTCACGCTCGTGAACGCAGCTGTCGTTTAAACGTTCGCCTCGACGCCTATAGACGCGCATCCTGTTGTCACTGTTTTTCAAGTTGAAACGGCTTTCGTGTTGGCCCATTCAGCACGAGTCATTCTCTGGTGACGACGGGCCCATTGCTCACGTCTTCGGCAATGTACGTCGGTAAGTACAAGGCCACGAAACGGCCTCCTTGCTCTTATACCATGATCACGGAGGCGGTTAAATACCGTTTTCTGGCTTATTGATCTGTTATGAGTGCCTATCGTCTGCCTGGCGGTTGAAGCTGCAGTTCTAAAACGGTTGTTAAGGTGATTAGCAACAATCTGTGCATCTTGTGCTGGAGTTGTCACTTTTCTGCGAGGTTGCCTGCGCTCATCTTCAACACGACCTGTGTGCTGGAACTTGGTGAAGAGGTTGGTGATTGTAGAGACATGCCTGCCAAAAATTCGAGCAACCTGCAGAGAGAACAGAAGACATGCAACTTCATATCATATCTGTACATTTTCTAAGCTACATGTATAAATGCTAAAATAATTTGATTAAATATTGTTATTTACAATAAATTATTTCACGAAGAATGATTTAATACCATATTTAGATGAACAGAATATTTTAATGATGAATACCTGTACTCGGGATGAGCCAGCCTGTAACATGCCAATTGCGCGAGCGCGTTCTGCATTGTTCATACGCAGCATTTCAGCAGTTCTATCACTAAAATGTTTTTTTGGTATGATTTTTGCTATAGAATACTGATTTGATAAGAAAAATCGATTTTGAGCACTGAATTCACAAAATCTCGTGCATAATTATAAAACTACACATGAAAGCACGTGCAAATTGGAATATCGTCACGGTCGATGATTTTCATGATTTTTAAAAAACATTGGCCATGTAATTAATTAATGCAAATAATAAAGTCCATACCTTTTACCATTATTGAATAATTTTAATTTAAAAAAAGGTCTAGTTAGAACATCCTTTCAGTGTAGTTTCCCATTAAACATTAAGTATTGGAGACACTGGTGCCATTTTAAGCATTGCAGTTAGTCCAGGGGTCAGGGCCTAGGACATTAATAGATGAAAGCTTAAGGGACTCCATTGAGATTTTATGAAATGAAGGGATGGGGGAAAAAAAATCAGGATTTTTGTATAACTTGATGTAGGTCTTGACAAATAACTTGTATACAAAATTTCAGATCATTCGTTGCATGGCCTTTCACTCGAATAGGCCAAAAACAGCATAAAATTGATTATCAATTCAATTCTGATTATTTATATATATATATTATCTATTGCATAATTTTTAATTCTTAATGTACCAGTTGATTTATACAACATTAAGTTATATTTAGTATTAAATTATTTTACTCTATTACACCTCAGTGGAGTTCCTTTATCGCACCTGCTTCTGCAGATAGATCTACTTGCTTTTTGGTCTAAAGTATTATAATGAAAACCATTCCCATTGCAGGCAATGAATCCATGCTGTATTCACCACAACTAACTTCATAAGTAACTCTATTCACCCACCTTTGCTATCTTGTTGTCTTCTTCAAATGTAACATTTAACTTAACAGTTTCCGAAGTCACTGATGTAACTTTATGGTAAGCTTTAACTGTGGCTGTCATACTGAACTTATATGGAACCTTGGATGGAGCAACATTTTTGTCATTTTTAACAGCTTTTTTATCTCCCTTATCTATAATATAAACAAGAGTTATTGTTCCTTTAACATTACAGATTAAAATGCAAAAGCTAAAGTATTACAGGGTTCGAAAAAAAAATATTTTGTTGTTGAAATTTCAGATATGTCAATTCTATTAAAGTCATAATGGAAACTACAAAATGAATAAAGTCATATAAATCCTTTAAAACAGGATGCTTCAAGTCTCATGATAATTTTAATAAAATATATCTGAAGCTTTCAGTGAGGTGAACTACTTTTTCTCATAACTTTATTACCCACATATGTAAATGACTCCCAGACTCAAAACTATTGAGTGTTTGTGTTAACAAAATAAATTTTATCTAGATATTTAAATATCTTACATGTAGGTTAATAATTGACTGTTGCAAATACAAAACAGGGCAATTCCATTTCACACACAAGATATAGGGTAAGATTTACCTGAAGAGTATCTTGGATTAAGAACTGTAGGAAGTGTAAACCTGAGTTGACCATCAGGCTCTTGTGGTAACTCTGTCACATATTTCAACACAAGTGAAGCCTCACTTTTAGCTGGAACATCTCCCAGCATGCAACTGACACCCTCTGAGGATTTGTCTCTCTTGTATATCATGGCTGCTGTTCCATGATTAAATGCATCTTCCTTTGTCAAATGTGCCTGTAATGGGGTAAAAAATATGTCAGCTCACTGACACTTTACACAAAGGAATGTCATATCTTTCTAGCATCTGCCTACAATACACTTGTACAATCTAGAGAATCATATTTTGGGAGATATTCATAAATCAAGAAGCAGCACAATCCATGTTTCCAAATGCTTAACTGCACAATTTCTAAATAAAGAGAGCATTTAAAATAAAAGTCAAACTGGCCTTGCTCTCTTATCTTTTGACTAAAACATTGGTGTGACAGCAGAGGCCATAAAAATGCATCCATATACGAGGGGTGTTCGGGAAGTTTAAAGACTTTTGCTGTATTTTTTTCCTTAATGGTGCGTTTTTATCCATATTTCACAAAATGTAATTTAAATATGTGCTCAATATGTAGTATAACGCTTACTAACAAGAATAGACAAATACCGCTCGAATTTTGTTTCTATAGGAACCGCATAACGCATACCCGGAGCACTCCGATTTTATCGTATTAAAGATAATGGTACCGATACATTTAATTGATAATATTTTTTTAAGTTTCAATGCACAATGTCAGGAAAAAGCAAGAGCGTTAAATACAATGTCAACGTCATTTCCTGAAAATTCTACTTGTAAATCGTTACAATTGTTTGAATAACAACGGTTTTAACATCACTGGTGCTTACCCAAATCAAGAGAAAAATGACGTCAATAGGAGACGTTGAAGTCGTGGGGAAACATCAAGTTTTGTATATAAATAGAAAAGACACCAACGGAGACGTATAAAATGATTCAAGCATCTAGTACAACAAAGAAATGCTGTAGATCGCTAGTATTTGGACGGCATGACATGTTCCGAAACGGAAGAGAGTCAATAGAGGATGTCCGGACCTCGCGTCGATGGATTTCCGAGTTTTTCCGGAAATCAAAGCACAGCTGCGTGGTTGACTCTTTGATTCCGGGTTGGAATTACAAATTGAAACCCAGAGAATAGTTTTGTCATTCGACAACATCTGGTACGAGGACACGTACGACAAATGGGTCAAGAGGCATAGAAAATGTATCGCTGTGAATGGAGATTACGTTGAGAAGTGAGTCGATATGATGATCGGGGAAATTTGATGTTAACATATTTAGCACTGACGTGACGTTAGCCTGCTCCGGGTATGCTTCGGTGTATGTTTTGTTTTATTTGTAATTTACTTATTGTTTAATGTATTTCATTGTAATTTTTACAGCTGGCTGTAAAAGAATTAAATATTTTAATGGTGTTTTTCTTGTTTTTCAATTCCTATTATTTATTAAACTACAGCAAAAGTCCTTAAACTTTCCGAACACCCCTCATATATCAAGTTAAAATTAAAGTTATTGACCATAAACAAAACAAGAGCTGTCGGTAGGACAGCAACGCTCGATTATTCTTAGTGCTTGATAGTAAAAAAAATGCTTGATACAGTTACCTCCTCCTGTTTACAGGTTGGGGTCATGATGGTAAACAAGTGTGCAAAGTTTCAAAGCCATATGTCAATGGACTTTGAAAATATTTGAACTATTACAAAAACTTTAAGGTAAATTCTAAGTCGAAAAAGGGGCATAATTCTGTCAAAATGCTTGATAGAGTTACCTCCTCTTGTCTACAGGTTGGGGTCATGATGGTGAACAAGTGTGCAAAGTTTCAAAGCCATATGTCAATGGACTTTGAAAATATTTGAACTATTACAAAAACTTTAACGTAAATTCTAAGTCGAAAAAGGGGCATAATTCTGTCAAAATGCTTGATAGAGTTACCTCCTCCTGTCTACAGGTTGGGGTCATGATGGTGAACAAGTGTGCAAAGTTTCAAAGCCATATGTCTATGGACTTTGAAAATATTTGAACTATTACAAAAACTTTAACATAAGTGGTTACGCCGACGCCGACGCTCAGGTGACTGCAATAGCTCTACTTATTCTTATCGAATAGTCGAGCTAAAAATGAAATGACATGTAGTTAGCATGGGTTAATGTGAGTTGGTAGGTAGGATTCATAAAGGTGAATTTACAACAAAGTTTAAAAATCCTATATCAATGCACTCTGATTTAATACCCACTTTTATGTTTCTTCATGACCTTTTAATCTGTAAATGGATAGGGCAGGTAGAACTCAAAGAGGTTCATCCACATACAGTTCTTGTCAATGTACTTAGAGTGAATGGCCACTTTAATTTTTAATTTAAGCAGGTCCAAGTAACTTCACCTTTGACCTTAAAAAAGGATTTGGAAGGTAGAATCCATCATTCAAAATTTGCATCTACATTCAAAGTTTGAAGTTTCTAGGTCAATGCACTTAGACTAAATGGCCACTTGATTCCTTTTTATAGGTCCAAGTAACCATGACCTTTGACCTTGTTAAGTGAAAATGAATGTTGCAGATAGAACTTATCAAGGTTCATCCACATACAATGTTTGAAGCTCTCAGGCCATAATACTTTATTAATACTTTATTAAATGACTATTTTTATGTTTTGTTATTACAGACCCAAGGGAGCGGTGGCCTAATGGTTAAGGTGTCTGCCTCTCAACCCAGAGATCACAGGTTCCAGCCCTACTCTGGTCACGACCATGTCTCTTCATATGGCACCAGTACTGGTTGGTTCCAGGAAGCAGACTCAAAAGTGATTAATAGAAGTTGCAAGAACTTGTTTCGCGATCAAGCTTAAATAAATATGTTTAAACCCAACTGACTCTTTGACTGTATGCAGAGCTGTCTGTTCAACACTTTTGAAGATTGACATTGCATGCACAACGTACAGTAACAATTTTCTAAGTTTACAAAGAGCCATAGTTCTGCCAAAATACATACTTGGAAAATGACCTATTATGATCTCAAGTAAGTGGAAGCTACAAAAAAATATTTTCAGTGATTGATGAGAAATAAGGTGGTACAAGAAGTGACTCATCAAACACTAACCAAAGTGTTATGCCAAAGCACAGATAAATAGGATAGCTACATTATTTGTCGAAGCTAAAACTCATTATAACCATTCTAGGTAAAACCCTAAAATTACATTCTCATGATTAATTTTTTAATTCAGAATTTTTTCTAAATAAGAGCATAAGATCTGACAGTCTGAAGTTTCAGTATATTTATAACTTTATTAAGAATTACCTCAGGCTTTCTCTGAACAGATGTAACGATGTGCTGTCCACCAATATCAGCTTCAAGCTGGTATACTGTGCCATTTTCAACTTCAGGCAATGTGAACACTGATGAAACAGGTGTTTTTCCTTCATTACAGTAAGTCAAACATGATGTAACTTCAGCAACATGACCAATAATATTTACATCAACTTTGACAGATTTGATTTGAACTAAAAAGAAATAGTGAAATACATGTAAAGGTTATGTAACTACAAATTAACAGAGAGGAAGATATCATTAAAAGATACATGACATGATAATGAATCTTCAATATTGTTCAAATAATTTTGAAAATTCACAAAGGGCCATAATTATGTCAGAGTTATGGACCTAAGAGACCTTGATAAATGACCTTGAAGACATGAATTAAGTTTCAAATTAATACCTGCAGTACTTTTGAAGATTGAAATATCATGCAAAGCTTTAACTCTCAAAATAGCACAACAAAAATCTTTTATAGTTCAAGAAGGACCATAATTCTGTCAAAATCCATGCTAAAGCCATGGACTTTTCATGACTTTGGATACATGTAGTAATCTCAAATAAATATGGGAAGAAACAAGCATACCAGAAGTTGCATGAAAAACTTTAAGCTGATGCCATTTATCTTAAAGACAGAAGAACACAGATGACCAGGCTCTCCAGGATGGAAATCAACCTCGTTGACATGTACATCTGTTCAGTTTGTTTTCGAGTTCCAAATGGTTAACTCAATAACTGGATATATAATTCCTTTCATTTAGTTTTCATTCCCTACTAGTCTACATAAAAATAGAAAAAAAACTTAGAGATAAATAGCTGGTAACAGCAACATTTGCATCATTGAAATTATCATAATGGCTTTTTCATTATGCAGCCACATATTGTGTACTAGAGTAGACTACTAGTGTCCAATTGATGCTCCTATCCGAATCACACTACATTTCGTACAAATTAGCGAATAATTAGGCTTTCAACTTACATGGTTCTCCTTTAACCGAGTTAAAACCGAACGCTGGTTTATCAGGGACATCTCTTTTAGCAATCGTTTCACTTTTCCTGGTACTCATTGAGATATAATTATGAAATATCAAACAGTGTTCATACAAATATTAGGTAGCACTCCACAGTTAATTTCAAGTTCCTGCCGTCAATGTCCTACAAGCAATACGTCTAATAATTCTGATACCAAACTACACAACCTGGAAAAAGAAAACACATTTTGTTGAGAACATATATGACATAAGATTGCAAATCTACAAAGAAATTATCCCATCTGCAATAGGCAGGCAGTCAAAAAAATTTGCAATTCATTCCGTTGAAGCCCAAAATCTACAGTGGCCCGAGACCCAAAACAACACATTTCGACCCTCTGGCAAAAAATATCTGCAAATATACAGGCTAAAGGAACACCGTCTCTGCTTTAGCAACTCCCTATACATGCAAAATATCACAAAGAAACTAGTCCTCAACCAGGTAGATTTTTTGCTACTGCTAAAAGTTTGTACCCCCCTGTAAAATGACTTCTTTTTACCGTGCATGCTGTATAAAAGCAATGTTTACAAAAAATGGCGGCCTTGACATTCATAATCAACAGCATGTGATTTCTGGCCATGTTTTCGAATTTGCCAGTGATCATATTAGATGTCACAAAAACAAATTTTATGCTGAAAATGCATTTTTTAAAGACAACCAGTCATTTAAATCCAGAATATTCACTATATCCAAGAAATCCTCCCTGGCCATTCGAAGCTGTGGCTTACATTACTGTGGTGTGCTACCTTAAGGGGCATCATAACATTGATTGATGACCTTTATATGGACTTTTTCTACAAATTCATGCATATTTCAATAAACAAAATGAAAATTTTTGCTGGGAATTGTTTGTTTTTTCATTATCTATGCCTTAAATGAACTATGCTGTTCATCCCATTTTCAGCCCTCGGCAAGCCTTTTTCAGTACATGTAGAATAAGAAAGTATTCCCAATGTAAAGTGTACACAATCTGGTTCTTATACCATCTATACAATCAAAATGTTCAAATATGTCCTTATAACATCTAATATGAAAGAAATATTCAACAAATTGGCATACAGTTTAAGAATATAATGGCTTCATGCTTCATATAAGGCAAAAATACAACAGATTATGTTCTTGCCAGACACCAAAATGTGCTATGTTTTTTTCAATCCTGCACAGTATAAAGTCCAAGTAGCATGCACAATTTTCATAAAGGTTTTATGTAAAGTCAAATTCAAAGAGACACAGCACTTATCATGGCCCTCTGAGCATTGTAGATCTATCAATGTTGGTCGCCCAGGGCATCGAAATTCACCAAGCGACACCCTGAAAACCAAATTCTCCGACTATTCAATCTCGCATGCCCAACTCCAAAATGGTCAAAATCTAACCCGAAAACCTAGCCTTAACATCCATTTGCACCTGTAAATGATTTCAAGCAAACATATCCCTTCGCACAAATATTTCGCATCACATGGAACACGCCCGATGGCCATATTCTACATGTACAGCTGAAATGCAATAAAAACATGCCTTTTTCCCACCAAAAAGTTTGGAAAATCAGGAAAATATCAACCGAATAGCTCTATATGTGAATATTTTCACTCTCC